ATAGGAATACCACCTTGTATTGGTATTCACCACTAGTGACCCCGTCCAAAGTGAGATCACAGCCTGTGGCACAATGTACAGCTGAAAAGCACAACAGGAGAGCAGGAGAAAATGGAGTACTGGTAATCACTGAACCACTGTTACCTATTCACTCTCCTAGTTAAAAGCCTTCAGAATTGTATCTCTCAGCTCAGTTTCTGTTCATTTCTTTTCACTTAATGTCTGTGTAGTGAGTATTTCCAAAGGCTGTCATTGGCACTACGGGCCTACTACAGAGAACCATATTTACGGTAATCAACTGTCACATAAAACGTAACCTTTTTCTTGATGCAGCTTCTCTAAGTACTTGAACAATCCCCTCTGTAAGTGTCTTAACACTTACCTGTATTGCCCACTGGGAGAAATAATACCTGAGAAACTGTGAATGTGATATCAGGAGTGTTGTTTAGCCTCTGGCTTAAAACTCCTTGTCCCCAGGCCAGGAGGGCAGCCTAAGAGAGGCAAGAAAAGAATCCAAATCCTACAGGCATTCTAAGAAGGAACCAGATGTATCAGGAGAGAAGATACAAGGAACAAATTGGCATCACATACTCAGCCTGACTGTGTTGCTGCTGCTTTCTGGGCTCAGACTGTGTCCTGCTGTGATTGCACTGCAATGCTGTACCCCTTACTCTAAAGGCATGAACATACAAACCAGTTTCTGAAATCAGTTCTGTCACTTGTAACATCTGGTGCTCACTGTGCACCCCACCTCTGCCCATACCTGGCCAAGGGGTACTGCCAAGGTGCTGTTTGGAATCTGTGGACAGCAGTTTACAATTTACACACTCCACAGGAATCACTTCTGGCATGTTCAAGAATAACTTCTTTGCTTCTCAGACAGTTCTAAGCTGCTGCTGAGCCACTCTGGCCCAAGCAACTTTCATCTGTCTCCTTGCTGAGTCATGTACTACCATGTGAATCAGCCGGAATGCTGTGGTGTGATCTCCTCCAAGCAGCCAAGACTAAATGGAATCTTGGTGTTCTCCCAGCAGAGCCCAGCAAATGCACTGATAAATCATTGTGCTGGTTTGCCTTTCCAGCGACAGGACAGGAGCACATTAGATTTACACAGGAGCACTGTTCAGGGCTGGAACGATGACTATCTAAAGAAGAATAACAAGCCTACAGCTCCATCTGGTGAGTCAGCCAGCCAGGAACCTTGGCACAGGGGAACTGGAATTACAAAACCCCACAACAGCTTAATTCATTTTCAGGATTTATTTGCAAAATGGAAGAAATGGACAGAACACTAATTCTCATGAACAAATCCTTAGAAGAGACCGCTCAGGCTTATTCTAGTTTTGGTTTTACTCACTGGCAAAGCCCAGAAAGTCACTTTAGAAGAAGCCTCTGTGCTGTACTGAGAGTCCATGAGACTGTCCATCTGTGCTAGAAATACTCAACTAGCAGAACCAGGATCAAAAATGGGGGGAAACCTGTTTCTAGTTCTGTCAGGCTGTAGGAGAAAAACGTGGCCAATACTAACACAGGCTCAACATCCCAAAAGGGAATTAGAATCCAACAGATAATAGCTGCTAGCCCTGCATTCCCATGCTATTCATTCTAAGTTTGAAACTTATGGAATAGTCACTTTTCCAGAGTGACATACTGCAACACTGTCTCACGTGTGTTCTGCCAATACCTGTGGTTCCGAGCTGGATGCTAGCTCCTGCTCTTTTGTCAACATTGGAGTCTCAGCTGCAAGACCAAGGGACGAAGAAAGCACTCAGAAAACATGATGTTTGCTTTGAATCTGAATTTTTAGTTACAAACTTCTCCCCTGTGCTTATGGAAAGGCCAAGAAAGATTCAGTTCAGCCTGACTAGGAAGTGAATTTAGTTTTACATATATCATCATTTGCTCTATCTGGAGGTTCCTCTTTGTACCTTGCTATAAAATGCTAATAGCTTCTCACCTCCACTCTTGCCCCTCTTCAACTTCACTAACTCCTAAGCACAAAACCCCATAGCTATTGCTTTTTCTTTCATTGTGCTGGATTTTACATGGTAGACACATTTGTTCTGTCATAGATGCCTATCTTTCTTACAGAAACTCCATCCCTTCTCCAGAGTGCTACCTACACAAGCAGCACCACGCTGCTCTTCAGGATAAACACATCACGCTATTTTAGCTATAACCAAGAGGTTTCAACTCCAAAAACAAGTGTTGCAACAAACAGTGATTTGAAAAGATACTTTCCCCAGTTAGCATGTTTGTGAGGAACATCTCACATTTCAAAAGGACAAAAAGGTGCATTTCTGCCAGTACTTTCTGGGTTTTGTACTAGCTAGAAAGTAAGTTCTCATTCCCATTTTATACAAACTTTCCTTCTGCAATCAGAAAATGAGATTTAGAAGTACACAGCGTATGACAATGCATTTGAGGCACACAAGCTCTTCTTGCCCTGCTAGAACAGGCGAGAAGAATTTGAAACATTGCTGTACTCAAACAGGAAGATAAGACTACAAGAGGCAGGCTGTGGTCCATTAATGGAGCAGTGGACTGACATTCTAAACTATTTTTAGCCTACTCTAAAAGCAGAGCTAGGAATGGCTTCATTACTGAGTCACCCACCAGTAACTCAAAATAGGATATACCATCTGACAGCTCAATAGTCAAATCAACTTATAGCACTGTCTTATTTCTCTCCACCCTCCTATCAGAAGATGTTTGTTAAATCATTTCTGTTACACTAAGCTAAATGGGCCAGATTAGCACTGAAGTTGCCATTAGAAGTGAGCAGTGTCCTATGAATTCAAAGAATATCTTCAATATAAGAGCAAATTCCTTTATGTCTTGATTTGTCAGCATTTCTTACAAAAACAGGTGAACAGACTCCATTTTACTAAGTGTTCTGGTTTAATCTGACAACTATCAGCCTTCTTTCAATCTATGGAAGAGTAACAAAAGTTTAATGCCTAATGTTTTCTTGGCTCTTTAATGGACTGGAATTTTTGACTTCTAAGTAACAGGTCAAAGACAAAGTACGTGCTTGTGAAGTTCCTTTTTCTTCCCTGTAGTGCAGACAGATATTAGGAATCCATGGTGTGAGACATCAGAGAAAGAGAAATTCTATGCCCACAGTAAAAGTTTTAAAAGCATGATTTATAAGTAAGACTGTAGCATGGAAAAGTCAGCAGAGTGGAAAAGATAAGGCCAGTATTCCTATTCCCCAAGCTACACAGCACGGAATTAGTAACTGGGAATTCTGAAGAAGCTATTCACTTAATACTGATAAAATGGGATCTAACAGTGTATGAGTGTGTAATACTGATATATGGGTAATGGAACTAACTATTGCTCCTTACTAGTGATCCATCCCGATTCAAAGCAAGCACTAAATACTGACTGTAGGGAGATGACAGAGAACATTATGGAGAGTGTTCCCCAGTTGTCCCTTTAAAGGACACATAAGAGAAAAGACACTAGACTTGCCAGTTCCCATCCTGTGCAAGGAAAGAGAAATAAGCCTGGTCTTCAACCAGAATACTCACTTCAGAAGTTTAATGTCAAGGAAGTTATACAGCTATGCAGGATTCCCACCCCCAAACCACACAACCCCAACAACCAGAAGCAAAACAATGTAGGTCCTTTGTGATTTTTGATTAGTGAGCTGAATATACAAAACTAGATCCTGGCTTACATGTGTTACAAATACAACAGTGTTTGTTTAAGATACTGTTAAGATTTCTCATCTAGAACCACATTAAAGTACAGATAAAAAGGGAACACGTATCTCAAGTTCTGTTAGTTTAACCAACAATTCTGACTTCATAGAGAAGATCCTTTGCATTAATATTGTGCTATAACTCCCAGGTACACATCTACACACCACCAGGCATACTGTAAACAAGGCTCCCTCTCGTAATATTGCAATGACTCGTTTCAACTTTATGTCAAACAGAATGAAGACATTTATTTTAACAGAAAGGAAACGTTTCCTATTCAGTGTGGTATGGAACAATGCTCATTTCTGCTTAATCACACCATGCAAGCAATCCAAGAACTCCTGAGTATACTTCTGCAAACTGCTTTGCAGGCACAGCTGTGCTGTCCTACTGGAAGTAATCTGCATATGTGGTCATTCCATCCTATGTTCATAAACAGTGACAGGAAAGAAGGGAGAGAGACATTGTAATTCCATACAAGCCTCAGGAGCCATTATATTCTGATACTTAAGGACTTTATCATACATCCAGTACAAGCACTCCTAAATACAAACCATTTTTAATTCCTTGCTCAAGTTTTTTCCTCAACATTTGCTCTTGACTTTGTTTTCTAGTATGAGTTAAAAACAAAAATAAAAGAGCATTTAGGATCAGACTATTTCATGTCAATCACCAGAGCAAGAGGTACAAATACTCCTGGAAATACAGTGTGCATCAAGATTGGGCTCTGAATGGCTTTACTACCACACACTGTGTATTGCATAAATCCACACTAAACACAACACTGCATACACTTCATTTTACAAGCGAGTGCTTCTGTGTATTTGTATATATGCTTCTCCATTCCTTGAAGCTCCTGCACTCAAACTTTAGGCACTGTGTGCATGGGAAGAAGCTTTAGAAAATACAGTACTTCAATTAAGAGTGAGTGATGTGTTGGGGCTCTCAGAAAATGGTGCACTGGTGGGATGAAAGACAAGGCTTAAATAAATCACACTCAATGTCAATGCAAAGCACAGATGCTACAGAGTCTGCAGGGGGCTCTGGCGTATGTGTGAAGACAGCTGCTGTCACTGGAGTTACCCCTCTAAAAACACCTCTTCGTTGTGACACAATTTTGTGCCTTCTTGAAAGACAGACCCAGAGTTTGAAAAAGATACTTTCACTAGACAAGAGCAGGAATTCTGTCTCCCTCACAGTAAAGGACTGAGCTTGGTGCTTGGGGGCTGAGAATCTAAAGCATCTAAGACATCCTCTGAGAAACTCCGAAAAATACTCGCGTGCGCTGTTCTAGGGCTTCAGTTTGCCCTCCTTCAGCAAGCGCTCGTTGAGCTGGCAGAGCTGCCTCAGAAAGCCATCGTTGGGGCCAATCTCTCGCTTCTGCCGGACCGTGATCAGCGCAGTCTTGACATCCATGTTCTGGCGAAGCATGAGGTAGGCAATGACCAGGGTAGGAGAACGGCTGTAGCCCTCACGGCAATGCACAAACACTTGTCCTGCAGGGAAGACAGGTCATAATTTGGCTTATTCTGCAATATACGTATGAAAAGCGACATGAAATAGTTAGGATATAAAGCATATTAACAATTATGATTTATGGATGCTCCTCTCAAACCATTTAAACTCACTGATGTTTGTCCCGCTCGTCTCACGAGAGCAGAGTAGAGGGGGAGAATCACCTCCCGTGACCCACTGGCCACACTCCTTTTGATGCAGCCCAGCACACCGGTGGCTGCGTTGGCTGCAAGTGCACACTGCAGGGTCATGGGGAGCTTCTCGTCAATCAACACCCCCAAGTCCTTCTCCTCGGGGCTGCTCTCAATCCACTCGCCACCCACTATCGTAACCAACAGTAATGAAGCAGGCCACTGCTGCCTTTCGGAGATCTAACTCATTTTGTTGCTTCTCAGCTGCTTCCTCTTTGACCTGCTTTTCCAGACACAAAAATTTTCCCCTTTTCAAATGCAGTGGGAGATACAGCCCCAGGCTACTCTCCAGAGTAAATCTGTTTCTGAGACAAGAGAACTCATGAACTAAGCACACGCACTGGCATCATAACCACAACTTGTTTTGAACCACAGCAACAGAAAGCCTGTTACCATGTTTGCCTTGAGCTGCAGAGGCTTCTCAGCTTAAGGCAAGTTTCTCACCAGCAGCACATTACAATAGCTAAAACAAGGCATTCTCAACAGTTCTCTAGTGCTAAATTAGCAAGATTTAGAGATTCTTGATCATATACGTACAAGAGAATTGACTTCCCCTCTGCACATGACTGGAAGCAAAAGGGTTTCTAGCTCTGTGAAAGGCAGTGTCTTAAGGGCTGCCTTTTAGAACTTCATGCAACTAGAAAGCTAAATGAAACCAAAGGGAAATATTACAGCATCCTCTTCACTATCTTTACTCTACATTTCAGCATCAAACAAAACTATCAAAGTGCAATAGCAAGTTAATCTTAAAACTGGCTCCATGATCACCCAGCTACAAAGTTCCTCTTTGTCTACCACTGTCAGAACACAGTGGCAGGCAGGGTAGACAACTACTGAGACTGACAGAATGAGCAAACAGAACTGCTACTGTAAATTCAGATTGCCTCTCCAACTGTTTAGATCAAATTGAGCAGAGGCAGTCATGGCACTGCTGAACTCCTCCACTGCGAGCTGTGCAGTGAGTTACAATGCTCCACCAAACGGGAGGTAAAGTTTCTCCATCTGCCAAAAGCAGATCTCAGCTCGTGTACTCCCTTTGCCCGTTTCAGAGAAAGAACTTAAGAGAGTTGTGGGAGTTCTTGGTCCTCCCCTTCCATGTTCAGTCATGAATCAAGAAAGAAATTAAGCTTGCGTAGAAATAACTGGTATACTGAAACAGCCAGAACAAACACCATCTGGCCCACTGCACTATGTCCTGGGGTTTCTGCTCTGAGGAAACACACAGGAGAGAAATGTGGCAATCAACATTGCAAATCTCATCTCTAGCCTTCCTGCAATCCTGTGGGAATAAAAAGGTCATCATCACATAAAATAATATAATGACTCAATGTACTACAAATTCTAAGGCCAATCTCTACCTTCCTTTACTGTACATCTGGAAAAGCCCCAGGTTGTGAGCAGTCTTCAGCAATGCATTACTTGTATCCCTTCTGCCTTTACTTTGTAATCCCTAGAGTCCTAAAACACCTTCCAGGTCCTGAACTTTTTTTCTAAAATTGATTTTGCATGTGATCCACCACTTTTATGGAAAAATAAGGACACATCTTCCAAGAAAGGCAGTATTACAGGACACAACAGCTTCAAAGTCACCTCTACAGTGACAGACTTCCATTTGCCATATGATGGAGATCTACGCGTATAGACAGAAGATTAAGATGTCTTATTGTGTATTCTGGTGTCTTTGGTACAGAGCCTTGATCTGAATTCCTGGCTTAGATGTTCATCTGATAATCTGAGCAAAGAGCCATTTTAAACAGTAAAATAAATTGCTAAGGAACATACACAGTAGCCAGAAAACATGATAGAAAGATTGCAGTCTGCCTTACCATCCTTCTGGGACAGTGCTTTCTCAATAAAATCAGCTGCCTCCTCGAAATAGCGACTGAGGTTAAACTCTTGCGTATCATTAGCTTTAATCCCATGGTATCTGATGCCCGTGCCCTCATAGAACTCTGCATTGGTGTTCACATGCATGAACGACTTCCCCTCTGCTGCATTCAGAATATGGGTTATCCCCAGACGCTGCAGCTTCATAATGTTCTTGGCTATGAACCTGTATGATAAAAAGTGTCAAGAAAACAATTAGAACTTGGTGAATCATCTCAGTATTTATGATGTCCCCATAAGGTGTTGATAACCAAAACCTCTGCTTTTGCTGTTAACAGATGCTAAAGATACTGTGCCCCGAAGTGATCAGCTACAGATTATAAATTGACAGAAACACTTAGAGCCATGCTCATCAGCTGTGCATGAGAAAATGCTTCCTTCTTGGCTGACAACTGAGCAGAGCACACATGAAACTAAATTAATATGGTGTAAAATTCTAACTCTTTCTGAACATAAAATTCTGATCAAAGTAGGAAAATGCTGCAGATGACAGAAAGCCCAGCAGAGTTAACCCTTGTCTACACAAGCTACATGAACATCTGGAGCGTTCCTTTTCTCCTAATGACTCTTCACCCCTTAAATTGTAGTGTAAGCAGATGAATCCTTATGCATGAGTGAAGCTCCTGCATTTTCTGCTGTCTGTGCCAAACAACTATGGCAATGAGACAAATATTTGTAAAGACTTCATTACCCAAACAAATGTTGACAGATTTTCCATCTGGCAGGACATCATCTGTGCCAGGGGACAAGTATCAGTGTCCAGGGAATCCTGCTTGCAACACAAAAGTAAATCCTACAGTGCAAGGCCAAAACAAAACGTATTAATTCAGCTGTGAGTTCCTATTCTTAGTGGGTGAATATATAGTTTAAGTAATAGTATATAGATTGGTATATATCCAGTACTGGTCAGGATCAATAGGAACTCGTGTCCTGGAATTGTGACTGAATCTGGCAACACGGACCGGCTCCCCTGGAGGCAAACTCGTTCCCAGGGAATGACTTTTGCAGATCTTATAGATTATTTTCTTACAGAGCTAGAGGTGAAAATGAGAGGATCTGTATGCCTTTTTTTTGGATCTCTCCCATCCTTAACATTTCATTCCAGTTGCACCATGTTCAGTGTGGAAATGCTAAGTCCTCCAAATAGCAGAGATGCTAACATCAGGACGAGAGGTAACGGTTTTAAACTAGAAGAGGAGGGATTCATGCTGGATGTGAGGAAAAAAGCCCCTCTCCAGCTTTCTTGTAGGCCCCTTTAGGTACTGGAAGGCTCCCACATGCACCATCAACTGAGAAAAGTGCTACTGGGACCCCTGAATGCTTTTCCCCATGCAAGCACGTTCATCAGCGCCGTGTATCCCCCTGGCTCCTACCATGTGCGTGAAGAATTAATTGCGGTGAGTTTTGTAGGGCTTAGAGTGCAGAAACATTCATGTCACCAATCACA